GTGGAAAAGAAAAGAAAAGCACACCTTAAAAAAACCACCAGCGAGCCACCATGAATGATCCATCCCCCAGAAGAGAAAGAACCAGTGCTTCCATCCAGAGTAGTGCTAAAAGAGAGAGTGAGAGAAAGAGGGATGGGGACTTTGTGTTGTCGCGAAACTCTGGAGAGACTCTTGCAACAATAAACAATTGCCCCAAGTTACTGCTTGGCTCTCCCAAAGACACTTTTCTTTTTTTTTTTTGTTTCTTTTTTTCGTGCCGTGTGCAGCATCCGCCGGAAGCATCGTGTCTCGCTTTGATTGGTCACCAAGTTGCTTTCGCAGCCGGGAGAGTTTCCGGGGATCTTTTGGGCGATTTAAACTTTTTGACCAAGGGGAGAAGTTTCGATAGCTATGGATGTGGTTGCATCGAAATGGACCCCCCGGGGTGTAACAATTATCGGCTGTTCCAAAGTCAAAAGATAATTACGGAATGTTTAAGACATGTTGCTAGACGTTAAACTCTATAGCTAGCAACAAGTTGGGCGAATCTACAAAGAAAAAGACTTTGTTTTCGCGAGGCTGATTTCGTCGATCAGTGGAGAAAATCATCCAACGGGATGTCGACAAGCTTGACCATTTGTTGGCGACGAACACCTTCGTGTGTTTTCTAGCCTTTGAAAAACCTGGGCCTTCCGGAAAAAGCGAGACAATCCGTACGCCACACCTTGAAATACTTGCGCACACTCTTTTTTCTGTGGAAACATTTGATTCGCTTTAGCGATTAGACGATTGAATTGTCCCCCCCGCTTTAAACTCTGGTTTGTGGGTCGGGGCTCCTTTCTCGAATCCCGTGGAGATCGATCGAGCACCGTGTCTGTGCCGGCAAATCGCTCCACAGTGCGAGAAATCGAGTATCATATTCATTGACAACAATCGCGGGGCTGTTCACATCTTCGCGCCACGACGTGGACGCAAGATCGCGGAGTGCTCGCGCCAATCAGCTCTGGCGCTGGGATAAACAAGGGCTTGGAATGTGGCGATTCGCCAGTGGGTGGGCGATGAGATTTGGATCTATTCTATTTTCCAAGTGATGCATTGATGTCAGAAGTCTCACATCAATGGAATCCTTATAAACTCTAAAAGGGATCCGGACGATTCCAAGAGATTTTTGTGGATCCAGCAAAAGATCGGAAGGTTGACGCTAATAATAGGTTTGAGCGGAATAAAGATATTCTCGCAATTTAGGGCTCCTATATCTTTCGTACGGAAAGATTACATGGTACGGAAGGTTTAGGGTTTTAGGGGAGGAGGGAGGGAAAATGCAGCGCCTCCCACAGCGGTGGCGCGCGCTCCGATCGAGAGGCTTTTGCTCGAATGCTCACGCGCCTGCTGCTGCGCCAGCCGACGAGAAGCCTGGCGCTTGGAAATGGGGAATTCGGAAGCGAATGTGGGATTTGATCGAGAAAAAGGGCATTGCTTTGATGCCGAGGCCGGTGCACAACACAATTCCGAATTTCCGTGGAGCCGGCAAGGCAGCTGACAAGGTGAGAGTAGTAGTAGTAGCAGCCTCAGAGATTTCATTCTCTTTTTCTTTTGTCTCTTAGGTGCTGCTTCTGCCCGAATATCGAGAGGCCCAGTTCGTGAGCGTGTGCCCGGATGCGCCGCAGAGACAAGTGAGATTCATAACACTCAGGCGTAAATCTCGACAGACAAATTTTCTTCTCTTTGTTGTGATGGGAGTTTCTCTTGGTTTCCAGATATGAAAGTGCTGCTTGTTCCTCCACCGGGGCTAAAGAAGGGCTTCTACGCGGTTGTGAGCCCGACGTACTTGTCCTTCTACAAGATGAGAAAGACCTCGGCACGCATTGGTACGCC